TGATAATGAAGAAGACTAGGGTTTGAAGATATTATTCAAGAAGTATAATTCAGTGAGATAAGGTTAGAAGACAAAGGTAGAGGTGCTGACGAATCCAGAAGATTAAGATTTGAGAGAGCTCAAAGAATGGATGCACCTGCGCTATGGAAAACGATTTTGAGCCATGTCGTTCAAGGTCTCTAACCATTGATGACTTTCGTCTCGCGGACCCCAACCAGGTAGTCTACATCTACCAACATAACTCAGTCCACTAGTCAGTGACTTCATGGACTTCCGCCATGATTTGGTCTGGCCGCCCCTAGCTTTCGTCCGACCTACTCTCCTACACTGCAAACACATAGCTCGTCGAGGCAGTCGGTGGTTATGTTTTGCAGTGTAGGAGTAGGTTGGAAGAAAGCTAGGGGCGGCCTTTAGTGGGCATCCTTACCAACGGAGACGGAAATCCGTGAGGTAGGGTGAGGTGTGACATTTTTAGGGTCGACCTTTTCTAACCCTTCCTTCCTTGTGAGAGGGCAGCATCGCTGCAGATGCTGGTTGTCTGAGGGAAACACCTTACTGCTGTCACACCCCTCTGCAGTCAGCAGTACGACTTCGCCCTCAGACCTTGGGTAGCTGCTTTTAGTCTCATCGTTCTCCAATCGACCTGCCTGGCCCCGACCGAAGCTGCTACCCTGACGTGGTGGTCGGGCTTGCCTATCGTGATGACCCAACCGAGCTATACTGGCTGGAACATATGTTCCTGCAGGTCCTACCATGCCAGGCTGGTCGATTGGAGAACGATGAGACTAAAAGCAGCTACTCAAGGTCTGAGGGCGAAGTCGTACTGCTGACTGCAGAGGAGTGTGACAGCAGTAAGGTGTTTCCCTCGGACAACCAGCATCTGCAGCGATGCTGCCTTCTCACAAGGAAGGAAGGGTTAGAAAAGGTCGGCCCTAAAAATGTCACACCTCCCCTAACTCACGGATTTCCGTCTCCTTGGGTATGGGTGCCCACTAAGGGCCTTTAAGAACGGAGCTAATCCTCAAAAAACGTTTCATAAAAAGGCCGTGCGTGACCGGCCTCAAGCAGTTGTCCCTTGGACTCTGCGGTCACGCACCAACACTAATCCATCTTCCTTTTCAGGTCCCTCAAGAAACAACCTTCCACGGTGTGGGCAGCCGGGAAGTGACAACCGCCCTCATACCCATAACAGCACGCGAGACCAAATTGGTCAAAATCAAATCCTTCCTATACCCCCTAATGTCTCTCTTATCTCTACGACTAACTCTACTCACACTCCCTTTTCTCACTGCACCGCTAATGCAGACGAAGCGAGATCACGAAACGTCGTTCCTGGTCTCTTGAAACCCCGTTCTAGACTACATGTTGGAGCTTTTAATGTACGGACATTGTGTCAAATAGGGCAACAGGCATCATTAGCTAGGACTTTAGAAACTCGTGCCATCGATGTATGCTGCGTCTCGGAAACGCGCATACAGGATCCTAGTAAAGTCATTAACCTGATTCCACCTTGTCAAAACGAAGAAGCAGCTCGATTTACTCTTCGTGTATCCGGTAGCCCTGATGCTGCTTCCAGGGGTCTTGCTGGCGTAGGCATAGCGTTGAGTCCTAGGGCAGAATTATCTCTCCTAGACTGGATCCCAGTAGATAGTCGTCTGTGCGCTGTCCGACTAAACGGGACAGTAAGGACTCGTAAGGATAGGGACACTCGCCGTTGCCTCTTCGTCATATCTGCCTATGCCCCCACTGACTGCAGTGCAGACGAGGTTAAAGATGAGTTTTACAGAAAGCTTTCGGACCTCCTCCAAAAAGCTAGGCACTCTGATATAGTAATAATGGCTGGTGACTTTAATGCTCAAGTAGGTAGACTAGGTGAAAATGAAAGACATCTTGGTGGATGTTATGGTGTAGCGACTGAGAGAACAGACAATGGCGACCGTCTGTTGCAACTATGCTCAGATAACCGCCTATTCTTAGCGAACACCAACTTTAGGCATAAGGAAAAGCATCTGTTGACCTGGCGACCCCCGAAGTCGTCTCAACGTTGGACTCAACTAGATCACATCGCCATCAGCCACCGATGGAGGGGTTCGATAGAGGACTGTCGCTCGTTCTGGGCACATGTTTGGATTCAGATCATGCTCTAGTGCGAGCTCGTATCTGTTTAAGGCTTACTGGACGTAGGAAAGACACCGTAAGAAAGCCTCTTAGGGTTTTACTTAATGATAATCAAACCAAGAAAATATTTCAGGAGCAACTAGAAACAGAGTTAAGCAACCATGCAAGCGATTCCCATCCAGAAGCAGGTTGGTATGATATCAAGAAGGCTGTGGAAACAGCAGTGATATCTGCTAGGAAGGTAAACCATGAGGCTAGGATGAAGCCGTGGATATCAGTCGCATCCACCGAACTGATGGATGCTCGAAAACGCATCCCACCTGACTCTGAGCATGATGAAGAGCGTAGTCAGCTTAGGCGCAGACTTATAAAAAGTCTGCGTAACGACCGCGAACAGTGGTGGGTGGCGAAAGCAAAAGCGATGGAAAAGGCAGCGGCGATCGGCAACAGTAGACAACTTTTCCGCCTTATTAAAGAAACTGGTATTAGGAACCCGAATGTGAGTGAGACTATCTCGGAAAAGGATGGGATTATTATCCATTCTCAATCCAGGAGACTGGATCGATGGGCTGAACACTTTAGGGATCAGTTCAACTGGCCACGAGCCACTCTTCGGTTACCCACGATCTCCAGTCATCCTGAATGGCAAATCGACCTAAGTCCCCCTTGTCTTAATGACGTTGAGAAAGCGTTAGGAAATCTGAAACGAGGACGAGCTGCAGGTCCTGATAGACTGACCCCTGAGATATTTAAGGATGGTGGTCCAGTTTTAGCAGCTAGGTTGACTGAGATCTTAGGTAGAATCTGGGAACTGGACGCAATCCCATCCGACTGGTCTCAATCCTTGATTGTCCCAATCTATAAGAAAGGACAAAAGTCTTCTTGTGACAATCACAGGAGAATAAGTCTAACTAATATAGTATCTAAAATATTGGCCTCAATAATACTTCGACGCTTAACGAAAGCTCGTGAAGAGCAGACTCGAGAAAACCAGGCTGGTTTTCGACCTGGACGTGGCTGTATAGACCACGTCTTCACACTACGACAGGTCCTGGAACACAGACACACATTTAGGCGTCCTACAATAGTTGTTTTCCTAGACCTTAAGGCGGCATTTGACTCTGTTGATCGTAAGGTTCTGTGGCAGTGTCTGTCATTGAAAGGTGTACCAAAGAAGTACATTAACCTTATACAAGCTCTTTACTCGAACACCACTGGTCGAGTGAGGGCTTATGGCGAACTGTCTACGGAATTCTCTACATCAAGTGGTGTCCGTCAGGGATGTCCACTCTCTCCATTCTTGTTTAATTTTATCATAGACATGCTCCTAGACATAACATTATCCTCGTCTGAATTTTCAGGAGTAGAACTTCTACCAGGTGGCTCGCTGATTGACTTAGAATATGCCGATGACATTGTCCTACTTGGTGAAGACGCTGACAAAATGCAGAGTCTTCTGACTACCCTAAGCAACAATGCAAGCATGTTCGGGATGCGGTTTTCCCCCTCGAAATGCAAAATGTTGCTTCAAGACTGGGTTGCATCGGCACCTGAACTAGTGATAGGGAGTGAAGTAGTCGAACGTGTAGACCGCTTCACTTATCTTGGGAGTCTCATCAGTGCTGATGGCCTGGTGACTGACGAAATCTCAGCACGGATACAGAAGGCTCGATTGGCTTTTGCCAACCTGCGTCACTTATGGCGTAGGCGAGATATCCGTTTGCTGACTAAAGGACGAGTGTACTGCGCAGTGGTTCGCTCCGTCTTACTTTATGGCTGTGAAACATGGCCAGTGAGAGTAGAAGATATTCGTAGGTTACTGGTTTTCGATCATAGGTGTCTTCGAAGCATTGCTCGTATATCGTGGGACACCCGAGTGAGCAACGCTGTTATTAGGAATCGGGTGCTAGGTAAGAATGGCAGATCAATCGATGAAGTGGTGAAACTTCATCAGTTGAGGTGGTTGGGACATGTGTTGCGTATGCCCAACCACCGACTGCCTCGTCGAGCCTTGTTTTGTAATGTAGGAATAGGTTGGAAGAAAGCTAGGGGCGGCCAAACCAAAACATGGCATAAATCCATGAAGTCATTGACGAGTGGACTTAGCCATGTCGGTAATTGTCGACTACCTGGTTGGGGTCCGCGAGATGATAATAATCGATGGCTAGAGACCTTGAATGACATGGCTCAAAATCGTTCGCAATGGCGCCGGTGCATTTATTCTTTGTGTTCTCTCAAATGCTAATCTTCTGGATTCTTCAACCCCTCTAGTTTCGACTCTCTAAACTTTTCTCACTGAATCATACTTCTTGAATAGTATCTTCTAATCCTAACCTCTCCGATTACTTTTAATTCCCTTACTACCTCTTCTACTATTGGATTTGAATTGACGATTACTTCTCTGTGCTGATGTGGTATGGCGACATGAACTGATGTACTTATGTACAAAGTTCTACGTTGCATCTGACTGACTGACTGACTGACTGACGCCTGGCATGGTAGAACCTTCAGGAAGATAAGTCCCAGCCAATACAGCTCGGTTGGGTCATGACGATAGGCAAGCCCGACCACCACGTCAAGGTAGCAGCTTCGGTCGGACTATTTACATATCGATGATAAAATGCACAGTTATATATCACCACAATTAATTATCTCTTAAAAAAGTGAATATACACATCTAGAACATTTGAAATTGAGGGGACTAAAAGAATGCTAGACAACTTATAGAAGCATGATATCAATGTCAGTCTGAAACTAACCGTTTTTTTAACAAACTTAATACATAAACTAATCAGGAAAAGGTTAAACACATAGTGCAGAGCCCAAAAGTATGTATAGTTTGCACGATAAGGAAAAAAAAACTAAAGTAAGCCTTTTTTTACCTGTCCGCCACTTCTTCCTCTTCCATACTGTCTTCCTTCTTCAAAACCAGCATCCCAATCTGTGCGAATTATTCTGTCATCCAATCGAGTTTTGTTAATATATCTCATGGCCATTTCTGCACCGTCTCTTGTACAATATTCCACAAAACAAAAACCACATGGAGTTTTATTAAACCTGTGTAGACCCATAATAACACGTTTGATTTCACCGGCTCGGCTAAATAGTTCCCAAATTTGTTCTTCACGTGTATAGAAGGATAAATTTCCAATGTATAAAGTGGTAGTTTCTCTTAGACATTGAGTTAATTCTCGTGGGGAAAACTGAAATTAAATTTTAATGATGGGGTTATAAAACGCAGACTGTGTATCATAGGAACACCCGACAGAACTAAAAAGCATAAATATACAAATAGGAGGACGGATATATTAGATTGATGACTGTTGTCCACTAGGAACTAGAGGGCGACTGCTGACTTATCCCACTGATTACAAGTACCATTTACGTGCCTTTGCTATTCCTCATTAGGTTGTCACTATTCTTGAAGTGTAACGTAATTCTGCGCTACGATAGGTAATCAGTTAGTCGGCTACAATGTGGGATTTGGTACGTAAGTAAACCAGTTTAAGTTGCCACACCACGTTGGCACGGAGAGATGGAACTGTCAATTTAAATCACATGGTGGTGGAGGTAGTAGCAGTTTAGCGGTAATGGGAAAGGTTAACGATCGAATATATGATTAGAAAAAATATGCACCAGTCAAACAAATTTTCAGAAAAGAGGAGAAAAACTGTCATGAGCAGTTTATTAGACTAGAAGTTGAGAGAAGGTAAACAATGGATGTACCTGCGCCATTCCAAATGATTTTGAGTCATGTCCACCAGTCTCTAACACCGATCACTATCGTCTCGCGGACCAGTCCAGTTGTCAATAACTTCTTCCACCTTATTCCTACACCACAAAACATGGCTCGTCGAGGCATTCGGCGGTTTGGCATTCGTGATACATGTCCCAACTATTTCAACTGATGAAGATCTGGTACTTTATCTATTTATCTGCCATCTTAACATAATACCATTATCCCAACAACAGCATTGTTTACTCGATTATCCCAGGATATACGTGCAATTCTTCGAAGACACTGATGATCAAATACTAGTAAATTATGAATATTCTCTATTCCTAGTGGCCATGTTTACACCTGTATAATAAGACAGAGCGGAGTGATGTGCAGTAAACTCATCTTTTCATTAGTGGACGGATATATCTCCTACGCGAAGCAAGTTGGTAAAAGCCAATCGAGCCTTCTGTATCCGTGCTGATATTTTGTCACACCATACCATCATCACCATCTTCAGACTCCCAAGATAAGTGAAGCAGTAGAGGTTCAACTCCTAAGGAGTCAGACGATGACAGTGTCATCTCTAAAACCATGTCAATAACAAAGTTGACTAAGAATGGAGAAAATGGACAGCCCAGGAGAACACCACTCGAGGTAATCAATTCCGATGACAGTTCACTTTAAGCTCTCACTAGACCAGTGGTGTTCGATTAGAGCTTGTAGAAAGTTAATGCACTTCCTTAGTAAACCTTTCAATCCACGTCCAATTTTGAACCCATCATGATTTCCTTGAGTCTGCTATTCAAGAGCCATAGTTAGGCGTTGAAGTATTATCAAGGCTAATATTTTAGTCAAACTGATTTATTTGTGGTGGTCACAGGAGGAATTTTGTCCTTTCTTATACACTGAAATGATGAGTGATTGAGACCAGTCAGAGTTTATCATGTCCAGTTCCCAAATTCTACCAAGACCTCAATCAATCTCATTAATAAAACTGTACCACAATCCTGCTTCTCTCGCGCGCTTCAGATTTCATACAGCCTATTCAACTTTATAAACTTCTATGTGCGTGTAAGAGTTATCTGCTACTTATTTTGTACGAGTTCTTTAAGCTAACGAGTATTACAATGCTAATACCCTAAAACTTACTTCAAAATATACACTCTCTGACAGAGCTTGTTAATTGTTATGTACTACATGTAATATGCAAGAAGTGTTTTGATTTATGAGGAGCGACTTGTATTTTGACAACGAACCAAATAAACCATAAGTTACAATTTTATATGGGACATTAATTATGTGCATTTATGCAGCTTAGATCTATATGGGTGAATTGCAGCGAAATAACTTTGTCAACAATTCAGCTGAACATGTATTGTGGACTTGTTTTACAAAAATATCGGAATAAGTAACTTCAAACACCCGCTGGTTAATTCATAATTTATGATGCGTCTCACTGACAGCTAAAAAGGACAACTTACACAAATATTGGGGGTTATGTAGGAATACTAAGTTATCTACTAGTTAAATGAATAATCCCTAACTTCCAACCTTGGGACAAAATTGAGAAATTATGGGACAGTTTCATTAAACATTTTGGGTGAGTCTAGATATGAAGCCCTTTAGAAACTCTTATACATATTAAAAGGGAACTATAGTATAGTTGTGACGGTAATTTTACTACTAAAGAACATGAATTAAACCTAAATATACATATACGGAATATACATTTTACTATACCTTCAGAATATTGCGAATGAGAAAAAAATAATAAAAATGCACTACGATAATCGATTTACATGAAGAAGAATTAGATGTCCCAATACTTACATCATTCCTTCTGTCGCGGTAGGGAGATTTGTAAAAAGAAGCATCTAAAATATCGCAAACAGCTTTGTCTCTTGGCATACCCGTACCGCAACGTTTGTTAAACGCTCTTAATATCCAATATCTTGTTGAGGTGGTATCGAATATTTCCTGTGTTTTTCGCTCATATTCCTTCTTCCGGCATGGTTTAAACTATTTGCAACTGTCCAGCTGGTGGTAGTCAAGACTGTCGACCTTACTAATTCTAGTCTTTTTGATAGTTACTTGTATGTCTAACAACGATTTGAATGAATTAATTTATCGCAGGTAAGTTTGGTTAGTGGATGCCAGCAGCAATCAAATTACCAAGTCAGAGATCAGTTGGTTGTATTTTGGAGGAAAATAAAGGGAGGATACTGATTTTATTAGGAAATGATTATCTGAAAAAGTAAATAAGTACATACGTTAGTTAGTAGATGATGCGGCTGTTTAGTTAGGACTGAAGCGTTGGAGCAAAGGAGGAAGTAAGGGTGACACTACACGATTTAAGATGGGTTAGTGATAATTATGGCAGTAGACTTATTACGTTACATGCATCAGGCAAAGTTAGTGCATGCTCCAGATTGTAACCCGTGTGTGTTAGGTCTTCTCTTAGGTCTCTCTGTTGAAAGCTCCAATATCTCAGTCACGAGCTATTATACACCATTGGATTCTCTGTAAATGCCCTTATAACGTAAAGTATAGAATGTGTAATAGTCTAGTGGTGTTTTTGAGCATTCAGAAATTCAAGCTTTTCGGTGTGGTCTGACTTTGTGCAGGAACAATCAGTTTTTCGAAACTAGTAGCCGGTACATCACCAGAACGTGTTTTAGTTGATTGCATGCAGATATAATGACGTAATTCAAGGAGCTACAAGGTAAGAGAATAAATGTATGGGCAAATACACAGTCAGGGTGCAAGTTATACTACACTATCAATAATAAAAGTGAAATAGGGTGTTAAAGGCAGAGTAGAAAGGGAGGAGAGTGAAATGAATTGATCCAAAACTGTCTTATCCAATCTCTTGTTATTCCTAGTTGAATACCATCCGTCGACTAGTCAGGCTATTTCTTGGAAGTGACATACTTAGCAGTGTGTAGTTACGCTAGCTGAGAAAGCGCCTTAGAAACCAACAGTTTGCGACGCAAAATGTCTAAATATTAGAAGGGTACCTAGTTTCTGATGGGTAATCATGATACAGTTGTAATCCAACCTACCTCAATGACCTAAGAAAGGTAAGTTTTGTTAAGTTTTGTGGAATTTGATTGAATATTTACCAAGGACTCTTCTTTGAATAATTCACGTTTATCTCACAACCGGATACATAGTTAAGCTCTTACTTGCTTACGCCTGTTAATCCCAAGGGAGCAAGGACCTCTAAACAGTATTCTCCAGCCTACTCTGTCCTGAGTATTCTTATCCATTTCTGTCCAATTTTGTTCATTCTTTTCTTATATGTCTCCGTTTCTCGGCGTAATGCGTTCCTTGGCCTTCCTGTTTTCCTTTTACCGTGAGGGTTCCAAGTGAAGGCTTGTCATGTAGTGCAGTTGGGTGCTTTCTAAAATGTATATCCTATCCACCTCCAGCGCTTCCTCTTAATTTCTCCCTCCGGTGGAACGCGTTCTATTCTTACCTACAGTATATTGTTGCTGAAGGTGTCTAGCCAACGGATCGGAATTATTTCGCTTAGACAACTGTCGATGAATACTTGCATCTTCTGTATTATGGCCTTCGTAGTTCTCCAAGTTTCCGCTACACATGGTAAAACTGTTTTGAAATTTGTATTGAAAATCCTTATTTTGGTTTTTGTTGACAGTTGTTTTGAGTTCCAGATGTTGTTTGGTTGTAAAAGTGCAGCCCTTGCTCTCCCGATCAGCGCCTTCATATCTGCATACATCCGACTTGCTCGTCAATGATGCTGCCGATATATGTATAAGTTATTACGTCCTCCAATCCATCACTATCAAGAGTGATTTGGTTGCCGCATCTCGTGTTCTTTCGGAAAATCTTGCTTCTTCCTTTATGCATGTTGAGACTTGCTGCTAATGCGGCTAACGCTACACTGGTCGTCTTCACTTGCATTTGTCGTTGTTTGTCCGATGGGAGAGCCAGATCATCTGGGAAGTCCAGATTGTCCAGCTGCATCCTCACTGTCCACTTTTTGCCATGCTTCCCTCCAAATGTTGTTCTCTTCATAATCTGATCGATCACCAGGAGAAGGAGAAAGGGTGACACTAAGCAATTTTGCCTGACACCGGTCTTCACGTCAAAAGAGTTTGTCAGATGTCTTCGATGCACTATTTTGAAGTCTTATCCATCATAAGAATTCTGTGTGATGCCAGTCATGCCATAGTATCGTAGAAGCCTCCACAGTGTTTTCCTGTCCATGCTATCGAATGCTTTCTCGTATCCAGTGAAGCTGGTGTAGACTGGTGAGTTCCATTCGACTGTGATCCGTAATGTTGCACGATCGATTCTTATGAAACCCAACCTGTTGATCTAGAAGTTGGGCGTCTACGAAGTCCCTCACTTTGTTTAACAACACCCTGTTGAAGACTTTGCCTGGTACTGAGATTGGAGTGATGCCTCTGTAGTTCTCACACTTGCTGAGATCGCCTTTCTTTGGTATTTTGATGAGGGATCCCTCTTTCCATTTTGTCGGTGCTTGGTCTCCATTCCGAATCTTGTTGAATAGAATGTGAAATATCTCCTCAGTTGCTGCCACGTCTGCTTTCATTGCCTCTGCTGGAATGTTGTCTAGTCCTTCCGCTTTGTCGCCCTTGATTTGTCTGATAGCCATACCTATCTCTTCAAGTTTTGGTGAGCCAACATCGATTGGGATGTCCGTAGATGCTGATTCGATGTTCGGTGGGTTCGGTGGAGCTGGTTTCTTGAAGTGCTCTACCCACCTGCTTCACTGATCTTCAGTGTTGCTGAATACTTTACCTTCCTTGCTTTACACTGGTCGTTCTGGTTGACGACAGTTTCCAACGAGCTTCTTCGCTGTATCGTACAACTGTCAAAAGTTTCCTTCTCTTACAGCTTTCATTGCTAGATCTTCCAAATATATACGTCTATCAGCTTTGATGCGTTACTTCACTTTCCTTTTTGCTTTTGTTTATTCTGCCCGTGCTTTTCTTGTTCTGCTCTTGCTCGACCAATATTGATTTCTGCCTTCTTGTTCCCCCTTGCCGTACTTAACTTCTGTAGTGTTGTCTGCCCTATCATGCAGTGTTTAATGAGTTTCAGTTTCATCTTGGCGACCAGCAGGTGGTGACCTGAGGCTACATCGGATCCTTTATTAGTTCTCACGACCACCATGGTCCTTCTGAACTATTTATTGATGCATACATGGTCGATATGATCCTGATTAGTGCGATCCGTTGAAATCCATGTTGTTTTGTGTATGCAATGGTGTGAGAATGTTGTACCGCCGATGATCAGTTTGTTAAAGGCATATAGGTTTGCAAATCTCCCACCATTTTCGTTCCTTTCTCCCAGTCTATGTCGTCTCGCGATGTCCTCATATCCAGTGTTGTCCATGCCAGCCTTGCCATTTAGATCTCCCATTGGAATCGTCTAATCCTTTGGGGAGCAACTGTCGGTGATTGAGTACAGACTCTCATAGAACTGATCTTTAACATCTTCATTGTAGTCGTTGGTAGGTGCATAGCATTGGATGACGTTCATTGCAATGTCTTCTTACTGTGTTTTGAACGATGCTTTAATGAACCTGAGTCCGTGAGATTCCCATCCTATCAGTGCCTTTTGTGTTTGTTTGGACAGCATCGGTTCAGCTTCATGTGTATGTCTTAATAGCAACGTGTAGAACTGTCTTGTTCATACTCTACTACTATTACTCCAGATAGAACACCGTGGAAGCGATCAAAGTTATTGTTTTTGGGATTAGGTGCAGTAAAACAAACCAAGATCTTGCTAAAAAAACCCGAATTCCACAGACTTGTTCACTGTTTTTCATAGTTTCACTCTGCCTTATTTCGAATCAGGGAACATTGAGTTACTTCCTTATAATAATAACAAAAATTATTCGTAGACGATGTGTGCTGGGAGGTAGGCCAGTTTATAGACGAGATCAGATCACTATGAAATCTTCTATAACAGGTTGCTTTTACTAGATGCAAGCCTCTTGTGAGCTAAGTCGCAACGAACGAGTAATACTCTTGAAATAACACATTCTAAATCTACAGTTGTATATCACAAAAGTGATTAGGCTAATGCGTAATTGTTTCTTTGATGGCTTTGTCCAGATAAAAATTTAACAGGCTGTTGGTAAAAACAACGCTAAGTCTCTAGGAATATCAAGGCAATAATTTAAGGCAGAGGAAGAAGTGATGTGTTCCGCATGTTCTTCCGTTAGTATGCCACAACCATGCCGAAAAGAGAAGGAAAGCAAAAAAGGCAAAAAGCAGGACAGGAAATATTCACTGCTAGAGTTGAGTTGTGACCCAGCAGCTGCATTTATGAATAAAATATTAAAGCACGATTACTTTCCTTATTAGATCACTTGTGGCACATCTGCATTTATGTAGATTAATGAAGACAAATCTCTAGTATGAATTGAATAGAATTAAAATGATTACAATGCTGAAAAACATGTACATCTAAAGAATGTAATGAGGCACAGTTGTTTGATGCACTGTTGATATTTCAGTTTTGTACTGTTTTTGTTATCACCAACGTGAAGTCACGTGTAAAACCCATCTTAATGTTATTGTCCAGGTCAGCTTTTCATAGGATTCCTTGGTAGTAAATAAAACCATTTCAGGGTTACAAAAAAGAGTCAAGAAAGTAAGATGTTTGAATGTCGAAATATTTTGGGGTTTTAAGATATTTTAAACTGGTAATACATGAACTAGAAGGACCTTCATGAATCAGGATATAACGAGCTTCTTATCATTGACCAACGTTCAGTAATATCTACGCACTTTGTAATTTATATTTCTAAATTAAAAGTGATGTGACGGTTCAAGGAAGTGATGCCACTGTGAATATTGACGAAGCTCAGAATTTTAGGGATAGAAGCGCAAAGATCTGATCTGTAGTAGTTAGTGGGAGAAATGGAATCACTTGTTTGTAATTTAGCAATACTTGTGTGAATCATGATGGTAGTGCAAAATATTCATGACCAGTCAGTTCTGTTGCCCTTACATTGCTAACTCGTATATTTACGTATACTTACTAAAACAAAGTAACTAGAAAAAAATGTCATCACATTCATGAAAGTATAAGTCAAAAACTGAATTTTGGCTTTCCTTAGTAGCAGATCTTGGATGTTTGGTACGTCTTACATTAGTCAATACGTTTATCAATTACTGTCCTTCTTCTTCTGCATTTATTGTTGAGCTAAGCTGCATCCTAAATAAGTACCACATTCCGTGTTTCCTATGAGATGCTGACATCTTCGTAATCCAGTAAACCAGAAGAAAACAACAAGAAAGGAATAACCAACCATGTCTGACAAAGACCTTCACTTGAATTATATGTAGGAATTTCCCTCCATGCGTGATTTTGAAGTAAGGTCTACCATAAAAGTTTCGTTCTATGGTGCCGACCACCGTATGTACACCGGGAATTTGTGGAAGGGTCTATACTTTTCTCTTATCTATGCTTACATATTCCTCTTCATTTTCGCTGAAGCTATTGCGAAATAATGACTTTATTTCAGCTGACTGTTAAACAATAATCCGTCTCGTCGCAATCTGGACCAAGAATACCATGTTCATTATAGATATCGATGATTTACATTATAAAAGTGGAACATGTAAGTCATTTATCTGTCATTTGAAATGCTAGAGGTAGGAGCTGCTGATCGGTCCGGTTTAATGTAGCCCAAACTGTGAGGTGAATGATGTCTTGCAAGACGAACTCGACATATAGTCTTTAGTGATCGATAGACTGACAAAATCTAGGGGTCGAGTTGTCAGAAAACCCTTCTGAACAAGGCTATTTGATGTGGCTAATACATTTGTAAGATAAAGAATGTGGATGATATTTAGGTTACCTACCACTGATGAGACAAAATTTCAGTGCGTGGGAGTGCGGCTTTTTCATACATCAAACTTTGCCAAATCTAGAATATTACATTGGCCAAAGCTTGTGGAATGCCATGAACCACAAGTTAAAATAACCTGCAGCAAACCGAGTTATTCTCCAATTACGATATAAATGTCTAGTGTGTGCATTTATATGTAGGACCCACAGGGCTTCTCCCAGCCTTTGGTTGTTCTTGTTTGTTTGCATGCATGTTTATTTCGGTTGTCGCATGTTTGGTCTATATTTGTCTGACTATGAATGGTTAGTCATGCTTCATCACTTGGAGTTGAGTTGTTCACCTGCTCCATTTTGCTTTGCCCTGCTTGTGTTATCAGATGAATGTATGAAATAGATTCATCCTCAAAACCGTACTTGGTCTGTTATTAATACCGTCGCACTAAGGCCGTTCAACTGAGAATGATACACGGAAATGGTAGAGGAGATTTATTCCGTTGCACATTCGACCGTTCGCGCAAACTGGAGTCAGATGGCAGACAACTAAAGTGTCTCGCCGGAAGTCGAATTTGACGCAGCTGCAAAACTTCATCGAGTTAGAACCTCCCGAACTTTACGAATCCGACAAATGTAATCAACCTATCAGACTCCACAAATAACACAGACAACTCACTCTCAAACACGACATGCTCAGCGAGGATGTACACATAAAAACATTGCACTGTCATATCGTTATTTCATTCACGTATCAACTCTTCTCACCAATCTGTTTGACGAACTACTTCATTATCGTTATAATTATTGTGGGAAAACCATTAATTTTATTTATAATGACATCAAATTGTGACGATTATGGAACCATACTAATCAGTCATGGAGTCACAACACTTCAAATATAGTATTAACGTCGCGACATACGCAACGCACTGGTTTATTTTTTAATATTTGACATCACAAAGGATTTTCCTGCCTATAGTTTGTTCTTTCCATTTTTGTCTGTATCTCGTCATCATGTTCTGAACAACTTTTTAAAGCAATAACTCTATGACACTAGATATTTAGTATCATTTCCGCAGCTATATGATTATGGAATGTTACACATTTCCGACACACTTACCAGCTACTCGTAGGCTGAACATCCGGTAACATACAAATTAAATTGGCGGTACGGCAACATCCACTCAAAGCATTTACAAGCAGCAATCAATGTTCTCCATTCTTCAACGATAAGCTCAACCGAACTTTCTTAGCATATCTTCAAACACTTGTTTAATCAATGGGCCTCGCTGTAATGTCGATACATTCATGAAATTTCATCTTATTTGTTCACGCGAATTTGATTCCCTGTTACATGCTTTACTCTCAAACATTCCATGATTACTGCGATTAATACCATTTCATGCTATACTTTAAATCGGAACACGAAATTTAGATTTAGTCCCTTTTTATATTCGAGTCGGTTTTATTTGTCAGGCGATTATATGTTAGAATTTTTTACCTACCTTGGCATGGTTTCTGAGCAAAAGACGCTAAACACATCTCCCTCTAACGACTTAAACCACACTACACTTCATGACCAAAAAGGAATACCAATTTGCATTCCTCGTCTCCGTAATGTTTACTCTGTCCCTTCTGTTATTCTAATAATACTTATTTAACGATAAGTCAATGCATCTGGTCACAATACCAGTAATAACGTACAGCAACTTTGCCATTTATATTTATCATCAATTATAGTGCAACAATGAATATTATTCGATGCAGTTAACATTTTACGGCTCGGCTGACTTTATGATACATACGGAAATTCTATACTACGTAGATGCATAATCACTCTTCACTACCTACCAACTCTCTTGCGGCTTATTACAACATATTCATACTTAAGAGTTACTTATTTGCATATGCTGTTAGCCCCGTAGATCAGTTCTCGTCACATGTTGCCAAACTTGTTTTTCAAGATCTATTACGTCGTCATTCCCATAAAAATACACGATGAACCACACGTTGTTTTTACGTTATTCTCAATCACTCAAACGAACTTGTTAATACTTTACTGACCCAACAATCATGACCGTTGCATAAAGTATGGTATAAGGAAATGAACGAGGAGATTTGTATCATTGCAAACTCTAAAATTCGCGCAAACTGGAGTCAGATCACAAGCAAATAAAGTGGTGAGCCGAACTTCGGATTTAGTATATTCACAAAAGCGGTGAGCCCGACATCGAATTCAATTTATATTTTGTAGAAACCACCTCCCTTCCCAGTTGATACACATTCAGGGAACCTGATGTTCTTGGTGTGTAAAATAAGCTTGATTTAGGTAAATCCGTGAGACTCTAGATTATAGATTACCTAGTAAAGTCTCAGATTTCACCGTAAATTTTTTCAGCATTTGCTTTAGTTCATCTATAACCTAACGTTAATTACCAGAAGAATGGTAGAACGTTATAGTGGTTACTGACTTCAAAACGGATATGAGACACAAACTACAGAACTAATGGCTGGTAAGCCTGACTAGCAACTTCGTGAAAATTTTAGATATTAATCGTAGGGAGCTGCTTAATTACCTTGACCAGCCCAAGAAAGTTGGTGCAATCTCAAAGATCAACGGCTACTTATAAGTATAGCATTCATTCACATTAGAAAGCAATTTAACAAAGTTCCACACGATCGGCTGCTAGTTGAGTGAAATGATAAGGGCACTCGAGACAACATATTTATGTGGAAAAAGGGTTTCCTAGTTGAATGAGTACCAGGGGAGAGAGAGCTGCGCCGAACGGATTACCTCACGGTACAGCCCCGGGGCCAGTATTGTGCCTGTGGTGTGTTGGCAACTCCTTGAGTTTATTTTCTTCATTGGGTTTTTTTATCTGCCGATGATATCGAAATGTGAACTGCAATGAAAAGTTAAGATGATAGTCTACAACTACAAAATGATCTACAGAAAACGTATGATTTGTCTAGGATTTGACGGATACAAATAAACGCTGTTGTACATTTGTCACGAAAAAACAATGAATGACATGGAGTTGTCTGTTATTCAGACGAAAATGATGTTGTAATCATCACTATTCAAGACTTGAAAGCTACTGCATATTTCCGTGCATTAGCTGCCAAGGATTTAATAACCCCAGGATCATAGATAAAGCCTTTAGACATGTTGATTCTGAGACATTTTTGCCTTTTTTTTACAGTATTCGCTCATCCCAAACTCGAGTGCTGCAAACAAATATGCGTTTATTGTTCAAAGAAAGATAATGAATTGTTGGAAAAGGTTCGAAGGATCTAAACTAAGCCGACTCCCGGAATCGCAAAGCTACCGTATAACAGGAGACTGACTAAGCTATGCACTTACCGTGTGTAATGATGTGACGTGAAGGCTGCTAGTATCCAGAAACCCTACTGTCCTGAAGCAAATGCACTCTTTCAAATCACGAGACATGCAAATTCATAAACAGCTACCTACTGACTGGAAATGATGCAGTTGAATGGCTAGACTAATATCCATTGGATAGCTGTAACAATACAACCAAGAACTGAGTGCAAATAAATCAACTGGTTTATACTTGTTCGTGAAATAGATATTGGATATTGGGTGTCATTTGGTGATTGATTTTTCTGCGGCAGTTTAGAGAATTTACGATACGTTGGGCGTGTGTGCCACAGTTTGAAATGGCCAGCATTGCAGGAAAACGTATCCAAAAAGAGCTAGCTGAGCTGAAGAAATCAGATGAGGTTTGTTGATATTCTTCAATTTACGTCTACTTTCTTGTATCTATGACTCAAAAGTTTGACATATACTGTTGACCTGCATATCACTCATTGTTTTTGGTGTTAAAAAGATAGTCCTTTACATCAATAATGAAAATCTCTCAAGTGGCTTACATTTGACTTGGAATTGCAATTATTTGTCACTTAAACGTGGAATTGAATGATGACTGCGTGATGCTTATATTGCTTAATATTACCATCGATGTTATTGGCCTAACCTATAATTATTCTCCTTAAGTTGTCGGCAAAAATATACGGAGTCGTGCAAGTGTTTTGTTTTATCCCGGTACAAATTCCAGCTTCTGGCATCCATCGTGCCGTATGTTCTAGTTCTAGTTCAGTTTTCGTCCCAAATACTTTCAAGAGAGGATGTTTTTATTTTTTAACAAAAGCTTTAAGCAGGTGCAACAGAACCATGTCATCGACATATTCCAAGTCAACAAACGAGTCTCCTGAGGAGCCAGACGATGACAGTGTCATCTCTAAAGCCATGTCAATAACAAAGTTGACTAAGACTGGAGAAAGTGGACAGCCCTCACGAATATCACTCGAGGTAATTAATTCCGATTAGAGTTCGCCATAAGCTCTCACTAAACCAGTAGTGTTCAAGTAGAGAGCTTGTACAAAGTTAATGTACTTTTTTGGAACACCTTTCAATGATAGACACTGCCACAGAACCTTACCATCAACAGAGCCAAATGCTGCCTTAAGTTCAAGGAATACGACTATTGTGTGGCGCCGAAATGTGTATCTGTGTTCGAGGGCCTGACGAGGTGTGAATCTATGATGAATACATCCACGTCCAGGTCCGAACCCACCCTGATTTCCTTGAGTCAGCTATTCAAGAGCCCTTGTCAGGCATCACAATTCCACTGAAGTGTGGCTGAAGGTCAGTTGAATTGATCCCTGAAGTGTTCTGCTCATCGATCCAATCTCCTGAATTGAGAACAAGTAGTATGACCTTCCTTTTCTGGGGTAGTTTCGCTCACAAATGGATTCTCAGTATTAGTTTGATTGATAAGGCGCAACAGTTGTCTGTTGTTATCTATCACCGCTGCCTTTTTCATCTATCTTGCTTCCGCTACCCACCACTTCCCGCGATCATCGCGTAGGCTTTTTGTCAATCTTCACTTAAACTAACTCCACTCTTCGTCATGTTCAGAGCCAGACGGGATGAATTTCCGAGCATCTATCAGTTCATAGATACTACTAAAATCCGATATTGCTTCCTAACCTTATGGTTCGCTTTACTAACAGATATCACTGCTGTCTCCACAGATTTTTGCATATCAATCCAAGCGGCCCCGCGGTGAGCACGACTTACAAGGCTGTCTAACTTTTTCACTAGTTGCTCCTGAAATGTATCCTTGCCTTTGCTATCATTAAGTAAAGCACTAGTTCCTAAAGTCCTAGCTAAGGCAGTCTGTTGCCTTGTTTGGTACAATGTCCGAAAATCGAAAGCTCCAATATGTAGTTTGGAGCGTGGTCTCAGGAGACCACGAATAACCTTTGCATCAGCGGTGTGAGGTGACAGTGTAATCAAAGAAGTGTTGGTCGTGGAGATAAGAGAGTTAATAAGAGGTGTAGGAGGATTTGATTGTGACTTATTTACTCTCCTTTGCTGTTAAGAGTATGAGGGCAGATGTCACTTTCCGGCCGCCTACATCGTGGAAGGGTGTCTCTTGAGAAACCTGAAAAGGAAGTTGGATTAGTGTTGGTCTTAGAGACCTGGCAGCGTGACCACAGAGCCCAATAGACAACTGCTTAAGGCCGACCACACGGCCTTTCACAGGAAGATTCTAAAATGTTAGCTCCGCTCTTCAAAAGCCTTACCTCCGGAGACAGAAATCCGTGGGGTAAGGTGGTGCGTGACATTTTTAGGGTCGACCTTTTCTAACCCCATCCTTCTTTGTGAGAAGGTAGCATCGTCCGTCCTGCAACTAACCTACCTGGCATTGTTGAACCCAAAGAAACATATGTTGAAGCCAATATAGCTCGGTTTAGTTCATCACAATAGGCAAGCACGACCACCACGTCAGGGTAGCAGCTACGGTCGGGATATAAATCTAGCCTAATCACTGTCATTCTAGTTTGTTGGAGTTAGATAATTGATATTCTATACATATGAAAACCTAATAGATGGCTTGAATTGTTTATATCCTTACTCTACGATAAATGTATCTATGTGTTGGTAATACGGCCAGGCCAACTGCGATAATAGAGGCATCTTTTATTCCAAAGGCACTTTGCAGCCAGTGGGAAGAAAATCTGTCTTATTTGAGAGTATTTTATTTGATATATTTTACATTTATATGTACAGCATAAGATCACGAAACCGATTTTCGTGCGAACTGTCCATGTTTTCGGCACTATGCAACGGTATTACTATCGGACTTCAGTGTGATGTAAAATAAAATTCTTGTTTTATTTCGCTCCGAAACCTGAAAGTTTTTTTCCCGATTGCTATGGTCCTATGTTGTAGTTAAATCTACATACATATACACTCTACCAACTCTTAGTTGTTGTGTTAAATTGGTGGTCAGATTCACGACAGCCACTCAGTTAAACCACATTAGTCAGCTTGCAAATTCCTTACGATGCCAGTTGGATTAGTTGGAAGGTGCTAAGATGAAACGTATCTAATTACATCAACCAAAAATAATAACGATTTCCTGTTTAAAAGTAAAGTCGTGTAATGGATCTCACACAACTCTAATGCCATAGTCTGTTCCGAAACTCACCTAATTTCAAAAAAACCCATGATAATCTGTCATCTCACAATGTGGATGGTGAAAAATCGTTTATTTCTATCACCACTATTTCTCACTTACAACTCTCTTGCTACCGATTTTATCCAACCATATAGTTAATGCTGACAACCTCAGTTGTCCTGACGAATAATAGATATAGTTTTGGTAATAGTTAGTAGTGATTTTTATTCCTACCAAATATCCGTTATTGCAGAATACCAATCTTAACTTTAAGGGAAAATAGTTTTTCATTGAACAATTACTAATATTAAAATCATAAATCGACCAATGCTAGACCACCATTAGAAATCTGGAAGCACTGGACGGCCGTTTTGTCCTGGTATGAGACTCATGAACAATGCTGCACCCAATACTCCAGCGCCTAGCAGGATTCGAACCCAAGATCTTCGGTCTTTCGCGCGAACGCCTGACCTCTGGACCACTGAGCTGTTACCTAACGGTGTTAATGTCTAACTTCGATCGATTCACGGTCTGTGCAACCTCATACATTGTTTTCAGTAGTTTCTGTCTACACCCGAATAGAGTTGAACTCCACTGGTCACGACTTCTCACTAGAATTCGGAGAAGATTCCTTACGAAGCTAGTCACTAGTGAGCAATTACTAATATCATTTACAAGCTAAATGTATTGCTACTAGAGAGAATCATTGATAAATTATTGCATTTTGTTCACTCATGTAAATTGCCTAAGTACACTTGGGGCGCATTACCAGTAGAGTTTACCATAAATTATTAATTTTTGTGTTTTGGTGGTGTTGTATTTACTGATCTAGATGGTTTAACTGCAAAGTTTTGATTCTCTCAAAAATATTACCCAATACTTATATAATAAGAATTAGTTGAAAGGCTGATGTTTCCTAAAACCTCAATAAAAGCACCGCAATTAAACTATTTAGCTTAGAGAACCCAACACAATTATAAATGTATTCATATGATCTGTAAACCTCCACCATTCTAGAAGATACATTATAGAACACTTCAATTATGGCAGAAATATCAATCAATCAACAGCAACGTAGAACTTCATACGTTCGTACACCAGTTCAGGTTGCCATACCACATTAGCACAGAGATGCGATTGTCACTTCAAATCCCGTAGTAGTAGGGGTAGTAAAAGTATTATCAGTAATCGGAGAGATTACGGTCAGAAGATATTATTCAAGAAGTAGAATCTAGTGAAATAAACGTAAAAAAATAAAAGGTAAAGGTGATGAGGAACTCTGAAGGTTATGATTTTCGAGAACACAAAGAATAAATGCACCTTAGCTATTGCAAACGGTTTTGAGGCATGTCGTTCAGCGTCTGTAACCATTGACTACAAACATCTCGCCGGCCCCAACCAAGTAGTCGACACCTACCAACATGACTCATTCCACTTGTCTGTGACTGCATGGATTTGTGCCATGTTTTGGTTTGGTCGCCCCTATATCTTTCTTCCAACCTATTCCTACACCACAAAACACCGCTCGTTGAGGCAGTCGGTGGTTAGGCTTTCGTAACACATCTCCCAACTACCTCAACTGATGAAGTTTCACTACGTCATCTATTGATCTGCCATCCTTACCTAATACCCGTTTCCTAACGCAGTATACTAATCCGTTAGTCAGCAAACGGATATCTCGGCTACGCCATAAGTGACGCAGGATGGCAGAAATATATAGTAATTACATGTTTACCAAATGTTTCACTGTGATCTACACAAATATGAGCCTAATTACTGAATCGTATTATTATTATTATTATTTTTTTATTCCATCTGTCATTTTCAAATTTTTTTTACAGGCAGCACAAAATCAATTGGAAATAGAACCATTTAATGAGAATAATGTCATGCATTTATGTGGTTGTATCAAAGGTCCACCAGATACTCCTTATACTGGTGCTAAATTCAAACTAGACATTATAATTCCTGATAATTATCCATTTGTTCCTCCAAAGGTAATTTGTTTTGAAAATAAATTCAAATAAATAAAATAAAAAAAAATATTTTATTTATTTTCATCAAGGTTAAATTCCTCACTAAAATTTGGCATCCTAATATTAGTAGTGCTACAGGTGTCATATGTCTTGATGTCCTGAAAGATCAGTGGTAAGTAATTATTGTTGTGTTGTTTTTTTTACACTTTTAATTTCAGCATTTATGTCATACATTTTTTAATAGCAAAAATGACAAAACAGAGGATATAAGTACATAGTTCATGTTATAATTCTCTCTCTTATTAAAACCCAGCTATTTCCTAATGCTCTTAGTAGTATTCTCGGACACCAATTCACTCACTCTAGACGTTTCTCCCAAATCAGAACATAGTTGAACAGGAAATAGATTATATATTATATTGTATTATAACAAGGTTAGAAGGAAGTCAGTACATTAAATGATCCAACATGTAGTTTAGAACGGGGTTTAAGGAGAGCGGGAACGACGTTTCGCGAACTCGCATCGTTTGCACTAGCTGTGCACTGTGATAGAGGAATGTGAGAAGAGTTATTCGTGGAGATAAGAGAGGTATTAGGGGGTGTAGGAAGGATTTGATTTTGACCAATTTGGTCTCGTGTGCTGTTACGGGTATGAGATTGCATGTCACTTCCCGGCTGCCCACACCGTGGAAGGTTGTTTCTTGAGGAACCTGAAAAGGAAGATAGATTAGTGTTGGTCTTAGAGACCTGGGTGCGTGACCGCAGAGTCCAAGGGACAACTGCTTGAGGCCGGTCACGCACGGCCTTTTTATGAAAGGTATTTTGAGGATTAGCTCCGTTCTTAAAGGCCCTTAGTGGGCACCCTTACCCAAGGAGACGGAAATCCGTGAGTTAGGGGAGGTGTGATATTTTTAGGGTCGACCTTTTCTAACCCTTCCTTCCTTGTGAGAAGGCAGCATCGCTGCAGATGCTGGTTGTCCGAGGGAAACACCTTACTGCTGTCACACCCCTCTGCAGTCAGCAGTACGACTTCGCCCTCAGACCTTGAGTAGCTGCTTTTAGTCTCATCGTTCTCCAATCGACCTGCCTGGCATGGTAGAACCTTCAGGAACATGAGTTCCAGACAACATAGCTCGGTTGGGTCATCACGATAGTCAAGCTCGACCATCACGTCAAGGTAGCAGCTACGGTCGGGTCAGTCATCACTATCAATGAATTTTTATTTTAATTCATGTACTTGAATGTAAGCCATATTATGTAAGGGCTAGTGATAATTTTTAATTGTCTGCGGTGTGGTCTGAACCGTGAACTTCGTGGTTGTGAATGTTGAAATCCGCCTGCACCACTGAAACAATCGTTCAACATCATTATGATAATAATAATAATAATAATAATAATAATAATAATAATAATAATGTGGACGTCCTAAATATTTTACGCATATTCATTAATATTTTGACATGTATAGTTAGACAAAAATCTGGTTCCGATTTGATCAAATAAACATGTCTTAAGATAATTCATCAAATATCCTAAGAGAATTATTTTTGTAATTCTAATTCTATTGGTCAATTCCTACTGGTCAATATTATGGTCGTCCTAGCTATCAATGTCATGTACTACAATGTTGTTTCCTGTTCAACCTAACTGTATAAATATGCATTATCTGTAATGCTTTATGACCCGTAACCCTAGTCCGGGATTCTGATTCTTTTCTGAACTCATACCTCAGGGTGTTTGTAGACTACAGGTTCTACTTCATATCAAGTCTTCTTTTTTTACTCAATGTGGGTTCGGGACAATTGGATTAGAGTAGCCTGTCGTGTCGCCGGATCCTCGGTCGTCGCTCTCGTTTTCCGACTAAGGTAAACTCGTAATAGTTCAAGCCTATCAAAATGACGTGTTTACATGCATGCATAACAACATGGTTTGTTAGAATTTATATATCTGAAGCAACTTTAGCAATTAAACTTAAATAATTCTAGCCATCTTATTTGGGTATCTTCATGTTAATCATCTAAGTGTATCTACACTAAAAGCTTATCCAGTATTATTCAGATGTTAATTTTTTTGTAAGTAAAAATCACATGAATCAATCATATGTGAATAGTGTTGAAAAAAAATTCATACGTGGAATAAATATGTGCCTACATGTATCAACTATGTTTGTTATTCATAGTTGATATTCATTCAGTTAATAAAAACACAGTCTGTCTACTTACACCAGTCAGTCAGTCAGTCAGTCAGTCAGTTGCAACGTAGAACTTCGTACGTAAGTACATCAGTTCATGTTGCCATACCACATCAGCACAGAGATATAATTGTCAATTCAAATCCAATAGTAGAAGAAGTAGTAAAGGTATTAGAAGTAATCGGAGAGGTTAGGATTAGAAGATATTATTCAAGAAGTATGATTCAGTGAGAAAAGTTTAGAAAGTCAAAACTAGAGGGGTTGAAGAATCCAGAAGATTAGGATTTGAGAGAACACAAAGAATAAATGCATCGGAGCCATTGCAAACGATTTTGAGCCATGTCATTCAGGGTCTCTAACCATCGATTATTATCATCTCGCGGACCCCAACCAGGTAGTCGACAACTACCGACATGGCTAAGTCCACTCGTCAATGACTTCATAGATTTCTGCCATGTTTTGGTTTGGCCGCCCCTAACTTTCTTCCGACTTATTCCTACACTACAAAACAAAGCTCGACGAGGCAGTCGGTGGTTAGGCATACGCAACACATGTCCCAACCACCTCAACTGATGAAGTTTCACCACTTCATCGATTGATCTGCCATTCTTACCTAGTACCCGTTCCCTAATAACAGCGTTGCTCACTCGGGTGTCCCACGATATACGAGCAATGCTTCGAAGACACCTATGATCGAAAACCAGTAACCTGCGAATATCTACTTACACCAAAGACTTGTTAATTGTTGTTTTATGAAATATAGTTAAAAAATAAAAATTCGGATTGAAAAAGTGTTTTTTTCTAAAATGTCAAAGTTTATGTGATGAAATGATGTTGAAGCATTTTAGTTACGTGTTATCAGTTAAAGCTACCTGTGATATAAACAGAATGGATAGAGACAGAGTTCGATTGCTTGCTAATAATCATTTGCCTAAGTAATGGCTAGTTCTATTCAGGCTTTTCTAATTAGCCTAAATACACACAGAACACTTCGTTGTTAATCTTTTTTCTCTGTGTGTGTGTGTGCCAAACCCATTCCAAAATATCTTCTAGTCTTGTCAAAGTTAATCTTTTGTCCTATTTCTAACGAATGTGACGACCTTGCTATCGATCGATTCTCAAGATTTTGGTAAGAACAAGTATGTTAGTAAGTATTTTGAGTATTATTTACTTACAAGTTAGCAAGAACTCTGCATTTTAATGATCTGTCTAAACAATAGGTTGATTTTATTAATAGTTTATTTATGGAACTGAGTCTGTATCGTGCATCCTGTTTCCAACGAACATCAAGTTGCTATCGATCGATTCTCATGATTTTGAGGTCGACTGGACGATTTGAAAACATGTCCTAAATACCGCTTGTATTCCTTCAACCCCAAAATCAATTGTCTAATTGTTTTTCCTACATACACACTGCAATGCGGTCATGATAATTGATCACATAAACATTGTTCTGTTGTTCTTGCTTGACTTTAACTAATTGTAATCTTATCATATCACTGGCATGGAACTAAACGCTTAGAATTCTGTTAATTTCTCTTGATGTTTTTCTTACGTTATGGAATGAAAACGATGCATTTTCCATCTTTTCAGTATATTGATGATATTTGTATCATTATTAAGTGAAGTGATTTTAGAGAACTATTTGAATGTGTTAACAGCATATCAGATAGGATTGCAGCGTATGTAGAAGAAATGTTTAGACAGTTGATTTTGGGGTTGAAGGAACACAAGCGGTATTTAGGACATGTTCCCGAATCCTCAGTCGACCTCAAAATCTTGAGAATCGGTCGATGGCAACGTTACATTCGTTAGAAACAGGATGCTCGATACAGATTCAGTTCTGTAAGTACTTTACTTTACTTACTTACGCCTGTTACCCCCAATGGAGCATAGACCGCCGACCAGTATTCTCCAACCTACTCTGTCCTGGGCTTCCCTTTCCAGTCCTGTCCAGTTTTTGTTCATTCTTCTCATGTCTGTGTCCATTTCTCGGCGTAATGTGGGCTTGTGTTGTGACGCAGCTGGGTGCTTCCAACTTGCGTCCAATGCGTTTCACTGATTCCAAGCACCTTGAGGTTGTATCTCTTCATCTCTGCAGCAATTTGGGACAGTCTTCTGGTCTCCCACATTATTCGAACATTTCATATGCCTAAAAGAATGGTTTCTCCGGTTGTCAGAAGTGGCATCGACCTCGTGACTTTCAAAGGAACCCGGCTTTCATCATGAGAGGTCATAACTCTTCTGAATGAAGACTTTCTAACTCCTAGACCTGAGTTAAAATGGTTTGAATTATTTTTTCTGGTTAGCGTTTTTTATTGAGTTGGTTTTATACGGGATGGGGTTGCCAACCTGAATTCCAACCCTCCTCCCTTATCCGGGCTTGGGACCGTTAGTAGCTAAAATCAACCTTTTTTAGACAGATCATTAAAATGTAGACTTCTTGCTAATTTGGTGAGTAAATAATACTCAAAATATTTGCTAAGACACTTGTTTTCCTTATAAAATTGTATCCTGTAAGCTGTTGAGTTTATGTTGATTTTTTTTAATCACTTCTAACTATGCTACTAACTAGTAAGTAGATGTTTATTTGTAAATTTTCACTGAACCGAATTGTTCAAATGCCAACTTCATTTATTCATGAAAATATGAAGATCATGTTTGATAGTTGGTTTTTAATGTTACTTTCCTATTCTTCAACCACAAAATTCGTGTCTTCCAATTGCTTATGTTTCGAATGACTTCATCATCCTTATTTTCGCTCCTAATATTTCGTACATCTCAGCATGTCAATTTAGTTTTATCAATTGGTGACTTACATAAGAATTAGGTTTTACACGCGTGTAACTATCATCACTCGATCATTACAAGTCGTCTGGTCGGGGTCCGCGAGATTAAAGTGACCGGTGGTTAGTGACCTTGAATGACGACATGGCTCAATACCGTTTGCAGGTGCGCAAATGCATCCATTCTTTGATTTCTTTCAAATTTTAAACCTCTGGATTCTTCATCACCTTTATCTTTCTCTTTTTAAGTGTATTTCACTGGATTCTACTTCTTGCGTTATATCTTCGGACCGTAATCTCTCGGATTACTGTTAATACTATTACTATGGGATTTGAATTAACTATTACATCCCTGTGCTAATGTGGTCAGTCAGTCAGTCAGTCGCAACGTAGAACTTCGTACGTAAGTACATCAGTTCATGTTGCCATACCACATCAGCACAGAGATATAATTGTCAATTCAAATCCAAAAGTAGATGAGGTAGTAAAGGTATTAGAAGTAATCGGAGAGGTTAGGATGAGGAGATATTCAAGAAATATGATTCAGTGAGAAAAGTTTAGAAAATCAAAACTAGAGGGGTTGAAGAATTCAGAAGATTAGGATTTGAGAGAACACAAAGAATAAATGCATTGGCGCTATTGCGAACGATTTTGAGCCATATCATTCAGCGTCTCTAACCATCGATTATTATCATCTCGCGGACCCCAACCAGATAGTCGACAATTACCGACATGGCTAAGTCCACTTGTCACTGACTTCATGGATGTGCTAATGTGGTATGGCAACTTGAACTAATGTACGTACGTACAAAGTTCTACGTTGTAACTGACTGTTTAATTTGCAGCGAGGTCATTCCTTTAACTAATTCAAAAAATCTTAATCTGTAGTACAAATTTATTGATATTCTATTACTGTATACAATTCTTTTCAAGTTGTATTGGAAAGCAAAGATTTTTTCCCGTGTTGCTTTTCAACTCATCCAAATTTATGCTTTATTCATATAGGGCTGCTGCTATGTCATTACGTACTATTCTTCTATCAATTCAAGCGTTATTAGCTTCTCCAGAACCAGATGATCCACAAGATGCAGTTGTAGCTAATCAATACAAAAGCAGCATAGATGCTTTCAATTTAACTGCACGTCATTGGGCAGGTATTTATGCTGAAGGACCCGGATCTGATCCACGTTGTCTTGAATTAGTAGATAAACTTGTTCAAATGGGTTTTAAAGAGGTAAACTAGTCTTTTAAAACTGTGTGCATGTGTTTTTGTCATTACGCCTAACCTCTGGATCACTGAATCGGTATCTAATGGTGTCAGTGTTTAAGCTCGACCAATCCGCGGTCTTGCGTAACCTCATCCACTCACTGTCTTCGATGAGCATCGCTTTACATCCGATCAGGGTTGAACTCCACTGGTCACGACTTCTCACTAGAACTCGGAGAAACTTCCTCAAGGAGCTAGTCACTAGTGAGCACATATAGTTTGTATTATAGGGTTATGGAGATTATTGATTTACTTTGTTGAAATCGTGAATCGCTCTATGTCAGCCGTTTCGTTGTTGTATGGGACTCATCAGCGATGAGCATCCACGATGTAAATTATGTAATAATAATAATAATTAGAAGAATAATTAATTTACATACAGTATCTCGGTAAAAGTACTTTTGTTTGTTCTAACCGTTCTAGCCATAAAAACAAATCATGATACCAATCACTTTTATACTATTGTGAAACATCTAGAATACAGAAGCAATGTCTGGCAATCAGTCTATGCAATAATGCATTGTAAGGTGGTGCAGTTCCTTTGTTTTAATAGCTGTATGATTGCGGATGGTGTACCGTGATTTGGCGTGATAAGATGATAAGATGAATGATAAGAACTAAAACCTTTTTTGTTGTTTGTTGTTTCATAGTTATTGTGAACGTCAAAGGTCAGATGTACAAGACACAGTAGTGAGAAAACATTTCTCTCTTCTATGCTTGTACAACTTGTTGTCTCCCTTTGTGAAATATCCATCTGGTGTGTCGTAAGCCCGGATAAAGTAGGAGAATTAGGCCTGAGGGGTTTAGCGACGACCGGATCTCGTAGAAATCCAACTCTGTGGAAAAAAAGAACGCTAACCAGAAGAAAATAGTTAATTCGCTGGTCGGTGCCCAATGCTCCGTTACGAGTAACAGGCGTAAGTAAATAACCAAATGTAGTGAACGAGAACACAGGTGGGGCAACCGAATTGTATTTAACGAAAATTACAGAGTTACTCAGTAAAATTGGAAAACCATATCGTAAATCGTTCATTTGCAAAATATCAGTTCATCATATCGAACTGACTGTCTGTTCCTGTTGCAAAACATCAATCCATTGTCACTCACTATTCATGCGTTTCATACAAATTCCATTGTGTTCTAACTCTTCCTTTCTTGATCTTGGCTCATCTTCTGCTGCCAGACATTATGTTGACACTCAAAGTATCTTGTGTGTCCCAATCATCATCAAAGGATTAGGAAATAATAGCATATAATTAGTAGTTATATGCTGGTGTCTGTTCACCTATTATGTAATGAATATAGTTGTTATAATTCTCTCTTATTATTACAACCCAGCTATTCCTACCTAATGCTTATTAGTATTCTCGGACACTAATTCACTCGAAACGCTTCTCCCAAATCAGAACACGGTTGAACAGGAAATAGATTATATTTCTAATAACACGGTTAGATGGAAGATAGAAGTTCCAAAGGAAAAAGACGTTAGTATATTTTCTAGTTTTCTTACATAAGAAGATTCTAGAATGTTCTCTCAGCTTTCATTGACTAGCGCTGATTGGTTACGAATAAGCCAATCAGCGTGCAGCAACACATTTATGCTGCTTTAATCCAATCTATATCCCACTAACAATAGTCTATGTTCATTATTATTCAAACAAATCTTGTGCTTCAACAATAAAAACATCAGTTTTATATTCTGTTATAATTTCTGCTTGTTTGCCATTGTTGATATTTTTAATTTGATGCGTCAATTTACATGATTTCCTTTTCTGTTTTCTTTTCTCCTTCGTATTCGATCATCTCACTTTCATTGACTGACTGACTGGTTGATTGCTTGTACATGCATAGGCTGACGCTTGCTGTGCATTGTCTATGAAGAATTGGGATTTAGCTATGGCAACAGAACATTTAATAAAATAAAATTCTCTTTACACACACACACACACACACGTGAAAACAAATACTGTTTTGTTAATAGTTATGCCTATGAACTCGTACACAAACACACACTGTACTACACTGCACTGCATTGCACTGCACTGCGCTGCATTGCATTGCGCTGCACTGCTGTATTCTGCCTTTCCTGCTTGCTCTTTTCGCTTGCCCTATATATGTTTGTTTTTACTCTGTCTACTTGTAGTAGTTCTCTTTTTTTTTAAAAAAAATTATTTTATTGTGTTTCCCAAAAAGTGAATTGCATTGAATTGAATTAAATTTATTTCTCTAACCTTTTTTTTGAATTTTCAATTTTCAATGTGAATATAAATTTTGTGGTGAAGTTGAGTTGACTTCTTGTCAGCACTAATACTACTACTAGTACTTCTACTAATACACTACAATTGCAAATGGTACTGCTGTGTTCTCTTTCTGTCCTTTTGTACATTACAACTACTGTTACACCTGCTACTACTACTACTACTAGTATGAGTACTTTCAATGGGCTTATAGTGTATTTTTACCTTACAAAAAAGCCAATTTTCTCTATCTCTCTGTGGTTCTATATTTTGTTCTCCTTTTTCCCCATCTTATCTCATCTCATTTGAAATGAAAATGATGAAACATTTTATTCAATGAACATGTATACTTCCAAGTATTTATTGTGATGATGGCGTGTTGTTGATGATGATGATTATTGTTATAAATCAATAAATCGATCGATAAATCGATAAATAAAAGCAGCATACAAAAAAGAAACGCACAGGTTTATTGGCTTATTGTTTTTTTTCTTCAATCTTTGTGATATTGTGTTACATGGCCAGTGAGAGTAGAAGATATTCGTAGGTTACTGGTTTTAAATCATAGGTGTCTTCGAAGTATTGCTCGTATATCGTGGGACATCCGAGTGAGCAACGCTGTTATTAGGAAGCGGGTGATAGGTCAGAATGGCAGATCAATAGATGAAGTGGTGAAACTTCATCAGTTGAGGTGGTTAGGACATGTGTTGCCTATGCCTAACCACCGACTGCCTCGAAGAGCTTCTTTTTGTAGTGTAGGAGTAAGTAGGTTGGAAGAAAGTTAGGGGCGTCCAGACCAAAACATGGCACAAATCCATGAAGTCGCTGACAAGTGGACTTAGCCATATTGGTAGTTGTCGACTACCTGGTTGGGGTCCGCGAGATGATAATAATCGATGGTTACAGACCTTAAATGACATGGCTCAAAATCGTTCGCAATGGCGCCGGTGCATTTATTCTTTGTATTCTCTCAAATCCTAATCTTCTGGATTCGTCAACACCTCTAGTTTTGTCTTTCTAAACTTATCTCATTTAATCATACTTCATGAATAATATCTTCTAATCCTAACCTCTCTGATTACTTCTGACACGTTTAATACCTCTTCTACTATTGGATTTGAATTGACAATTATATCTGTGTGCTGATGTGGTATGGCAACATGAACTGATGCACTTACGTACGAAGTTCTACGTTGCATCTGACTGACTGACTGTTATATTGTGTTACAGTATAATTTAGATTGCATGGTTCATTCATTTCTTAACTAGTTACTAGTGTGTATTGCATCGTAAGCAAGTAATTATTTCTCGTATTTTGATATGTGTGTTTGTGTTGTATCAATCAATTGTTTGGAAGGAGAGAGTCGAAGGCAGCTTGGAATAATAATATCCAAAAGGCCTGCTGTGGAGGGGTTAGGAAGAATCCCTTGGATCTTAAGTATCATCCACCGAACTAGATGGACGCTTATAAAAACTCATCCTACATCCTGACTCTGAACATGATGTGTGAAGAACGAAGTCAGCTTAGGCGTATGTAGGCTGATAAAAAGCCTACGCAATGATTTTGTGAACAGTGTGTACTAACACTACCTACACATGTATAATATGTCAATATTCTGTGGCGTAGACAATACTTGATTTCTTTAACTTGTGTAATTAGATGACGCAACATTGTTTTATAAACAGGTAGACTATTACTAATTTTAGACTAAAACCAAGCAAGAATCAATTATGTGCATAAATATTTCACAATTTCTTATCATCTGCTTGAAATAGCTTGAAATTATTTTCAAAACATTTTTTTGAAACGTAGCCAAAAATTAAATGCTAATGATAGAGTAAGAAGAATAGAACAGTGTATGAAATAAACAGAATTGAGATCGATGTTCATCTACTTATTTATTGATTGATTGATTGACTAAGCGATAACACAGACAAATAGTTTGATAGAATCAATGTGTTCTCACTCATAATCATAATTACAATGGTAATGTCAGTGAGGAAATCGATAATTCATTATTTTTGGGCAGAGTTTTGGAGCTTTTGTGTTTTTTACACATTTGAAATCATCAATCAATCATTGTTAGATCAACCCCATTAGAAACCTGGAAGCACTGGACGACCGTTACGTCCTGCTATGGGACTCATCAGTGGCAGTGCACATCCACGACTCCTGCGCCTCGCAGGATTCGAACCTGGGACCTTCGGTATTGTGCGCGAACGCCTAACCATCGGTCCACTGAGCTGGCATCCAACAACATCCACTCAACAAGATAGGCAAATAAAACCAGAAACAGAAGGATTATGTAACAGATAAATAGGTTTAAAAAAATGAATAGATTGGATTCTACAAACTTTGTTTTCGTTGTGTGTTCAAATTTATCAAGGAACCTAGTTGTTGTATGAAAGCTCAGATTTATTTAGAAGCTGTATATCTTTCTGTGCGCACAACTTTATGCCACTTCATAGGACTCTATAGGGTGTAAAGAAAAATCATATATATTAATCTACGTATGTGTTTTCTGATCTGCCATTCTAAATGACATTATTAACCCCCTCTTCCCATTGAAATGACCTCACTTGGTTCTTAACCTTGTGACCCACCAAGCACAAGATGTTGTTTGCAAGATCAATCAGTTTATTGATGAATTGATCTCGATTGTAGCCTGTTAAAATATTGAAAAAGATAACGATGATGTATACATTTCCTCACTCTTATGGTTTATCATTTCGACTGAACCACATGGGTCAGGAAACAAACTCCCACCAATCAGAATACATTTCTATATATCAAACATTTTTATGCGCTCGTTGATAGATAGATAGATACAACGCAGAACTTCGTACGTAGGTACAGCAGTTCAGGTTGCCATACCACATCAGCACAGAAACGCAACTGTCAGTTCAAGTCCAACAGTGATAGCAATAATAGAAGTATTAGCAGTAAGAAGTGAAGATTTATTTTGTATTTTTTTGTATTAGCTCCGCTCTTGAAAGCCCTTAGTGGGCACCCTTACTGCCGGAGACGGAAATCCGTGAGGTGTGACATTTTTAGGGTCGACCTTTTCTAACCCTTCCTTCCTTGTGAGAAGGCAGCATCGCTGCAGATGCTGGTTGTCCGAGGGAGACACCTTACTGCTGTCACACCCCTCTTGCAGTTCAGCAGTACGACTTCGCCCCCAGACCTTGAGTAGCTGCTTTTAGTCTCATCGTTCTCCAATCGACCTGCCTGGCATGGTAGAACCTTCAGGAACATATGTTTCAGCCAATATAGCTCGGTTGGGTCATGACGATAGGCAAGCCCGACCACCACGTCAAGGTAGCAGCTTCGGTCGGGGCTCGTTGATAAGATTTCAGGATTAACATGCGATAGTATATAATAAATCAGATTGTACTAACTCGAGTCAGTCGGATTGAGTCACTTATAAAGTGTATTCTTACTTTACTTCTTAGTATTTATCATCTTTTGAATCAAGTATTACAATCAGTATACATTCGATACCAGTACATATTCAAAACAGTGAAAAGTTACAATGTTTCCTTCGATTTTCAAATGGAGAATGCATTCATGATGCCTCTGTTAGGATATTCATCTAATATCTTAAGAGTCTAATTCTATTTGTCAATTCTTATTGGTCGTCCTAACTGTCAATGGCACAGACTTCAATGTTGTTTTCTATTCGACCGAACTATGTAAATATGCATTATTTGTAACGTTTCATGACCCGGATCTTGTTTCTCTTCTGGACTTGGATCTCGTTTTTTCTGGATGCTTGTAGAATACAGGTTCTACTTCATATCGAGTCTTCTTCTTTTACTGAATGGGGGGGGGGTTTGGACAATCGAATTAGAGTAGCCTGTCGTGTCGCCGGATCCTCACTCTCGTTTTCCGACTAAGGTAAACTTGTAATGGTTCAAGCCTATCAAAATGACGTGTTTACATGCATGCGTAACAGCCTCAATGTGTTATTCAGTAGGAGATAAGACTATTTTGCTGGAACAGAGTGAGAAGATGGAGTTAATTTTGTCAATTAAAATAGGAGTTCAAATAAGCATAAGGTGATCATTGTAAGAATAACGGATAGAGAGTTAATTGACATAGTATGAAAAAAAGTGCCACATTACCATAGGTCATAAAATGGCTAAAAGATTACCAGGATAAATCCTAGGTTACAAAATATTATATTTGCACACATGAGGGGGATTTGAACTTACAAGCAATCAAGACTTGCATAAACTTAAGGATTCGTCCTTGACAATTTCTGATGCAATTTTTTTTAAGCTGTATTTCTTTAAGCTGCTAATTTTATGACCTCTTTCAATTGTGTTTCGCTGTTGATGACACATGGTTTTCTATTTCCCACATTTATCGGATCATTTGACCTATCTAGGCACATGTCTTATACATTTGAAATCATTAATCAATCATCATTGTTATAGCCTTTAATTTTATTAACCGATTACTTCTCCCTATATATATGTCCACATAAACATGTAGATTGATAAATACAATGGGATACAACTTAATCGATTGTGTAGTGTTCAGGTGATATGCTTGCAGCTATTATTAGTTCACCTCACTTGGCAAACAGAACGAAGATCAGTTATTCAGCGACACGATAGGCTACTCTAATCTGATCGTCATAGGCCCCACTAACTAGAGTAAGAAGTCTTGATAAGACGTAG